CATGTTGCTTTTTATTTTAAGCCTATGTCAAAAGGATAATGTATTGTTTGTTTAAAAGATTAGGCTTGTATGTGTTTGTTTGTTATGTGTTAAAAATTAGTAATTAACATGAAGGTGAAAATATCATAATACTCATTTTTCTTATTTCATTCATTGTTGAGAACATGAAGTATTAATTTACTGAGTGTTTGAGACTTTAAATGAAAACTTGAAAACATCAGAAATTTTCTGAGTTAAGGAATAGATTACCTGAACTGGTAATAGATTACCTGACTCATGTTGAAAAACTGATTGATACTGGAATAATCGATTACCATGTGTGGTAATAGATTACCAAACTGATTCTGAAAAAATTAAGGAAATAAACATTGATCATAATTTCATTAAATTTTATATTTATGTACAAATCACAATCAAATTATAATTCAATGATATCTCCATCAATTAAAATAATAGACGCATAACATTATGAAAATAAATAATATCAATTATATCAATAGGATTTGAAACCAAACCCTTTAAGATTTAATAACGTAACACATGAGTTCAATTACATGACAAGTTGCTTATTTTAATCAATTTAATCATGAACAATATCAAATTACAGATGTAGAAAAACTCTAATCTTTTCAAGACATCACACAAAACCTAAATAGGCTTGAGGACACGCTTCGCTAGTCATAATTTTTATATGTGCCTCAAATATCATTCAACATTATAATTATGACATTTACAAAATTATTCCACTTCCGGTGATGACCTCATTTATATCAAAGGATCAAATATAATGTAATATATTTATATCAAAATTTTCACTTCTGGTGAAATTTATTTTATTTTTCACTTTTCATATTATTTTCTCACTTCTAGTGAGAAAATTTATTCCTTCAATTTCATTTTTTTTCATCATTTTCTCACTTCTGGTGAAAAAATAATAATAAAGTAAAAGAGGTTGAACATTCTTCTTTGATATTATCTTCTAGACAGATTTCAAAAATGTATGAAGAATTTCTTTATTTAATAGTGTCTTCAGGACTACTATAATGTCTTCAAGAGTACTTTGATTCATAACAATGTAAACAATACAAATTTTTGATAAAATCTTATTATGGAAAATGAATAGCTAACCTTGAAATATTTGTCTTAAAAAATATGACCTTCTTCAAGAAAATTCTTCACAGCTTTGTCTTATAGTTGCAACACCAATAGCAGAAAGACTATCGTGCTGATAACGTGTTATAAAAGGAAGAAAAAGTAGAGAGAAGAATCAAGACAGTATGAGATGGAGAAAAGAATCTGACTGGTGTATTATCTTTGGGAGAGAACTAATCTATTTACAAGTACATGTGATAACTGAACAATTAAACAATAAAGGAAATAATACATAACAGAAATATAAATGGTAATGATTGATAATGAATATTGGCATCCACTAATTAAGCCACTAATTATTATTCATAACAATAGTGTATATTTTATATGAAATTATGAAAATTAATTAGCTTAGAGTTTTTCGTTCGGTAAAAGAGGTTGAACATTCTTCTTTGATATTATCTTCTAGACAGATTTCAAAAATGTATGAAGAATTTCTTTATTTAATAGTGTCTTCAGGACTACTATAATGTCTTCAAGAGTACTTTGATTCATAACAATGTAAACAATACAAATTTTTGATAAAATCTTATTATGGAAAATGAATAGCTAACCTTGAAATATTTGTCTTAAAAAATATGACCTTCTTCAAGAAAATTCTTCACAGCTTTGTCTTATAGTTGCAACACCAATAGCAGAAAGACTATCGTGCTGATAACGTGTTATAAAAGGAAGAAAAAGTAGAGAGAAGAATCAAGACAGTATGAGATGGAGAAAAGAATCTGACTGGTGTATTATCTTTGGGAGAGAACTAATCTATTTACAAGTACATGTGATAACTGAACAATTAAACAATAAAGGAAATAATACATAACAGAAATATAAATGGTAATGATTGATAATGAATATTGGCATCCACTAATTAAGCCACTAATTATTATTCATAACAATAGTGTATATTTTATATGAAATTATGAAAATTAATTAGCTTAGAGTTTTTCGTTCGAAAAGGTTGCAACAATATTTTAGTGTATTTCTTCCGAGAATAAAAATATCCTTTTAAGGAAATTGGGGTGTTACAGTTTGGGCAGGTACTCACGGGACAGGTTAGATTGTCATGCCTGGTCTGAATTAGGGGCGAGAATGGGAGATGTCAGGTTATCATAGGTTTTTTTTATATAATTTTGGCTTAGCCTTTTTAAAAGTTTAATTTAACCTATTAGTTTATTTAATGTTAAATAATCAATAAATTTAATTTTTAATAAATTAATAATTATATTTTTATATGTGTGAGTCTTTTTTTAATTTATATTAATTGCATGATAAAAAATAGTTTATTCTATTATTATTAAAATTTAAAATCAAAAATAAAAAATTAATTGAGAAACAATTCATGCATATTCATGTACACTAACATATACTCATGTTAATGAAAAAATGATCTTATTATAAAAAATATATATATAATTAATTCTTATATCATACATTTGAAGTATTTTAAATAACCAACCATGAAGATCAAGAAAAAAAGTTGGGTACTAAAGTTTTTATTGCCAGATAAGTGGATCTCTTCTCATATAAGTCTAAACCTTAAACAATATCTCAAATTTGAGTCTTGTATATGTAAAAAAATAGATATTTTGCATGATTATAAGAAAAATAAAAATCAATTAAAATCTCATTTAACTTATTTAATACTTAATAATACTCTCTAAATATAAGAAGAAGAAAAAATTAATTAACATTAACTAAGAAAGTTAGTTAATATTGTAGAGAAAAGAGAGACAATAGAAGGAGGTTGAATAGTATTAATAAAAAAAACTCAACACTTTCTCGAAATAGTACAATAATAACAAGACTATAAGAGAGCAGACCAAGAGTAAAGTAAGAAGAATACACAATATTTTTTATATTGGTTCGTCTCAACTACTAAGATTATGTCTAGTTCTTAATCAACCCAATCAAGTTACACTATCTTTTGTAAAGATACATATATTCTTTCACAAGTTACTTTTAACTCAACTTCAGTGATTTTTGACTTGTCTATTCAAATAACTATCAAGTATTCTTTTAATACAAAGTCTAGCTCTTCAGACTTTAACAACTAAATTTTTTTTACAGTCAAATTTCTTCAAATTGAAAGCAACAACACAAAATTCAAATTAGGTAAGCTAACAATGTTGTTTTATCTTATTATCAATACGTGATACAACCAATTAAGTACAAGACCTTTTACAGGAAAAAAGAAATGTACAATGATTTTCGTATAAATCTATCTCTTTTCATGAAGATAACCATTATACATTCTTGAGCATCTCTCACAGGTTTGCTTAGTTTGTCTTAATCTTTGTTTAAAGTAAAAATAAATAAATGTTTGTTGTTGCTACTTATCATCTTTAAGATACCAAAAGAGAAGAATCATGCATGTGTCGGTCCAAAAAACACTTTTTCTAAAGATTTTCATGCTTTAAGAGCTAGAGATATGCTAGTCCTATTTTTGACGCAAAACACGTCTTTAATTTATTTCGTGAATTGTGAGTACTGGAAAATTTTTTTCTTTTAATTTATTAAGAAATCATATAGAAAAAAATGATTTTATTATCAGACATCATAAATGATATACATACAATGTATATATATCTTATAAATGATATGTTTTGTCTGTGAAACTTAATGTCTTAAAAATTGATCGTTTTAATAGATCATCTTAACTCTATTCATTTTTAAAGTTGGATTTGAAAAAATTTTCTCTTAAAAAAATTCTATATTTATTATCATCTAAGGCCATTTTTTACCTAACAAATATCATTTAAATGCATTAATTCCAATTAAAAAAGAACCTAATTTTTCAAACTACACTTTTTTTTAATTTTTATTTTTTGAGAGCAACTACATTTTCTATTTTTCATTGAACTTGATATTGAGAATTAAAAAGTGTCATTAAAAATATAAATTTACTTAAATATTGAAAGAGTATTTAATTTTGGAGTTTGCTGTATTAAATGAAGTAAAATTAGTTCAAATTTGAAATCAATAAAATAATTTTTTTTAACATATATTCAGAATCGAAGAGAATACTTAGAAAAATAAAAGAATACTTAAATATAAGTTAATGCTAGTTTATTTAATTTATTTCTTGTAAATTCAACTAATTAATTACTTATTAAGCTTTGAGCAGAAAACTTGCTCTGAACTATCTATATTATTATTATTATTATTATTATTATTATTATTATTATTATTATTATTATTAAATAATTTGATGACGAAATTACCCTATTTTGAGTGAGAATCTTGCTTGTTCTTTTTGTATACAGATTAGATTAATTTACATACCTAATTGAAAATCAATTTAAATAATTTTCAAAATATGAAATCATGCTTAATTTTTATTTAAATTCTAAAAAATTGAAAACTTTGACAAACCAAAAAATATATATTAATCTTAATTTATTTTTTTTAAATAAAGATATTACGATAAGTAAATTCGATTGAAATTCATACTACATTTAAAGTATTACATTATATAAAAAAGTTATATGATTTTTCTAATACATGTTATTTCTAAAATATTATTATCAATATTTATAATTATTGTTATTCCTAAAAGAAATAATTTTTTAAAATTAAAAATACTCAAATCTTATCTAAAATTATCTATATATATATATATAGACCAAATCAATTTTGGTTTTTAAAATATTAAGAGTGAAATGTTAGAAATATTTAATTGTATGATATTTTGATAAATAATTTTATGGTGATTAAAAAATAAAAATAAAAATTCACTAATTAAATTAATATTTGAATGTAACTAGATTTCTCCTTACTCTTCATAATTTCTAAACATGACCTACTGCTGAAGTATTAATTGTTATTGAGGGTTGGGTTATTCATATTTACTATAAATGACAACCATAACACTTTTGCATTGTAACAAGATACACATCACAATTCAGAGTGAAGATGGGAGAAGATGGTGAAAGGTAGTCCCTTTCCTCTTTTTTTTTTTTTTTTTTTTTTTTTTGTTTACAACTATCAATTTCTAATTCTATTATTGAATTCAAATAATTAAAATTTCTGAATCCCTATAAGCTTTGAATTTGTCAGGTATGCAGTTGTGACAGGTGCAAATAAAGGAATTGGATTGGAGATAGTTAGGCAATTAGCTTCAGCTGGAATCAAGGTGGTTCTGACAGCAAGAAATGAGGAAAGGGGTCTCCAAGCACTGCAGACACTCCAAGCCTCTGGTCTTTCTCACCTTGTTCTCTTTCATCAACTGGATGTGGCTGATGCTACAAGTGCAGCTTCTCTTGCTCATTTCATCAAATCTAAATTTGGAAAACTTGATATTCTGGTAACATATATATGCAACTTTCACACTACTCACTTTTTATGTTTTGTTGTAAATGATAATTTGTCAAAGCAATCATGCAAGTCTGCATGCTTGAGCTTTGCCTTTGGTTACAAAAAATGAAAGGAGACACTCATTAACACCAAGTGCAGAAATGCACGCAATTAACTTTTCGTTTGTATATATGATTCTGAATACTAGTTTTTATTCTTCTCTCAGTTCTCATTGCATGCATGTTGGCCTGATCATCTTCCTTCTGTTATTCAATGTTAGAATGCTAGCTGTGGTTCTTCATGTTAAGAATGAATTAGATTTTTGGTTTTAGAATAAATTGTATTTTTTATTCTTTATTTAATTTTTTAAGATTCATTTCAGTATTTTTAATTTTTAATATAATCATAATTATCTATTTTTCATTTATATCCCACAGAATATTATTTAGAAAGTAGTTATATTATATTACATCATTTTTAATAAAAAAAATTAATTATAAAATTAATTTTTTAAAATTATTATTCTCTTTCATTTATTTATTAATTTTTTTTATAATTTATGAATTCATAACTTTATTATGAAACGAATGAGAGTAATGTTTTAAAAAACTAAAATGATTATTACTCTACATTAAAGCTAAAATGATACTTATTATGGATTGAGAAAAAGTGTGTTGTGTTGTGTTATGATAACTGATAAATTTTCTTGATTATTTTAAAGGGAATCTCTCGACCTCTTATTTTGATGTTAATTTGAGTTTAAAATGAGTTTTTATTAATTATTTTTTATTTTAATCAATTAAATAAAAAAAATTATATAACTAAATAAATAACTAATTAAAAGGAAGTAAATAATTATAAAATAATTTTTTTATTAAAACTAATTAAAATAATAATTTTAAATTAATTAAATAAGTTTAAAATATACAAACATTTTCAAATATAATATAAAAAATTTGTAATCAAATTAAAAAGTTGGATTCAAATAAAACTTTCGTAATCAAATAAAAAAATTTGTACTCAAATTCGTAACATTTTCGTAAAACTATGTAATTGATAAAAAATTTATTCATTCAACTAACACTTTTTTACTGTTTCAAAAAAATTTAAAAAAAAAATAATCGTGACAGTTTCTAACTGCTAAAAGTATAATGAAATTCAATTAGTGTTTATTTTTTTATCCTAGAATCCTCAATAAAAGTTATTAGTGTAATTCTTCATAACATTTTTTGTGCATATTAGTACTTATACTAATATATAAAGAGAATACTCTTTTTAATAACCACCTTGGTCTTTATATTTTTGTTGACCATTATACTCTTTTATTTTAAAAAATTAGAAAAAAATAATATTTTTATCAAAATCAAGATCCTGAAATTAATCTATACTAATATATAAAAAAACATACTCCTTTTCGTAACTTCCTTGATCTCCATATTTTGTTAACTATTATACCCTTTCATTTTAAAAAATTAGAAGAAAAATATTTTTTATTATCAAAATCAAGACCTTAAAATTAATTGACTAATTATAACATTAGATCAACATATATTTATTACTTAATTTTTATTTTATTTTATCTTTAATAAAAGCACGAAGTACCTCGACCTTACTGGTGGAAATAAAAAGGTTTGAAATTCACACTTTTTTTATTTTTCATATGAGATAATTATTTTATACTAAACAATCTTCTAATTTCATTTCTTATCTAATTTTTTCTCTCCATTTTCATTTTTTTTTTATATTTCTCTTATACCAAAGAAGGACTAAGAAAAGTTGTACAATGCAGGTTAACAATGCAGGGATTAGTGGAACTGGAATTAAAAACACTGATTTATTCCAAGGAGTCCTGCAGAATCGTTTGGCGAATTTGGTGAGTATATGACATCTTCAAATCTAGTTAATAGATGTAAAAAGTTTTACATTGTTCTAAAGGTACCTAAATTTGCCACTTTTCAACAGTATTTTAAATGAGTTAATTACTTATACATTGTTAATGTAAAGTTTTTTTACACTGGTAACTAATTATATCTTTTAATTATGTCATGTCACTGTTAAAAGTGAATGTGTTTATAGTGACATGACATAATTAAAAGATATAATTAGTTGTCAGTGTAAAATAACTTTACACTGGTAGTGTATAGATGATTAATGTAAATAAAATCTTTCATAGTTGACAACATCTTTCATGGATAAAACAATTGTCTCAAATATCATAAGGTAGAAGATTCACATTCGTAACTTATAAATCATAAAAAGTCAACATGTAAGTATCAAAACTCAAGAAATCATATAAAAGAAAATATAGATTAATTTCAGCAAAGGTGGCAGTGCTTCCTAGTTAGGAATTAATTTATAACTTCCAAATCATGTAATAAAAATATAATAAAGATACACACTTTGGTCTTTCATCAAGAACGTTCAAAATTACAATTCTTAACATACACTTTCCTTGGATTATAAACTTTATCTACGTTATCCATTCGCTAGAAATTACAAAAGAAAAGAAACTAAAGTTATTAAAACAATAACATCTTAAACTAAGCTAGTTATGCCCCGATGTCACATCTTATCAGAGCATGCCCAACTGAAGTCTTAAGCCTCATCAACAACATCCTCATGATGATAATCACCTGTAACATAATTTAAACATATACAAGAGCAACAAGGGAGTGAGAAACATCTCACTCTAATTCAGATGTAGAAATAAATGTTAGGCAATACACATACAGTCATAACAAATACCACACAAATTACACATACTAATCATAACTCTCAAGTTATAAATATATTAGAATACATATACATTCAATTATTATGCAATAATGTCATGGACTCGACTCATAAATGCATGCATGTGGCGCCATACGGAAGTTTACATTTCTTATCACTGGTGACCCTCAGGCACACCTTGTTAGCTTGTTACATCACTGATGACCCTAAGACACACCTTGTTAATTAGCTTGTTACATCACTGGTGACCCTAAGGTACATCTTGTTAACTTGTTACATCACTGGTATATATATGCGGCCTAAGCGGCATACATGGAATAAGTCATTTCATCACATCATTTCATCACTGGTATGCGGCATAAGCGACACACCTGGAGTGATATATATGCATATCATGCATGTCATACATTCACTATTTCATTGACTCAACATTTCATTTATTACAGAATTTTATTTATTACCTCATGTCATCATTTTTCATATTCTCATAGTCATAATATTCATTCATCATCTCCAACAAGGAACACAGTAGAGTAATCAGAAAGTAAAATAGAACACATTCATGTTCCTAGAAACATACATCAGGCAAGGGATTGGGGGCCAATCCGACTACCAAAAAATTATTCTCACACCCCCAAGCGAGGTTTCTCATTCCCCCCTTACCTCGATAAGCAGTAGCTGAAACTAGAGCAGAACCTTGCTAATCTCCTTCTCTAGATTCCCTCTTTCTTTCTCTTTCTTTCTCTCTCTCTCTTTCTCTTTCTCTCTCGCTCTCTGTCTCTTTCTTTTTCTCTCTCTAAGTTTTCACCTTAGTCATTTATAATTTTTCACAGCCCCTCCCTCCTATTTATAGGCATTCAGGGGTGGCCGGAACAGCCCGTTCTAGACCAATCCGTTATACACAAAATTTACAACTAGAACGACCCGTTCTCAAAATCAGAACGGCCCGTTCTGGGGTTGATTTTAACACACATTGACCATAATTGGAACGACCCGTTTCCAACTAAGGTTTTTAGGCATTTTTAGAATCTTGGAACGGCCTGTTTCACTTTGGAAACGACCCGTTCTGGAATAACTAAAATTGGCCTCTTTACTAATTTGGAACGGCCCGTTCCATCATTTGGAACGGCCCGTTCTGGTCCTTCAAAAATAGTTTACTTTCATCGTTTGGAACAGTCCATTCCACTTTTTGGAACAGCCCGTTCTAGGCCTAAAAAATAGAATTTCATATACAAATTAATTTTTTATAAACATTTTAAAAAAAAATCTCTAAAATATTCTATAAAAACCCTTTTTATTAATTAATAACTATAAGAAAATAATTTTCATAAATATAAAAATAATAATTAACTATTGTATAAAATTTGAGATGTGACAACTCATTTTAAATTCCAACAATAGAATGATTATATTTTGCTACTCAGTCCTGTGTATAAATTATGAAGAATTATTTTTGCATGAGTATTTTTTAAAAAAATTTTAATGAAAGAATTTTTAAAAATTCTTTCAATTTCATATTTAATTCAAATTTTATTTATAATTATTTAATAATTAAGTTTTAAATTTAAATATTTTTTTAGTTTATGTAAAACGAATAAATTTTAATTTTAATTCTTCAAAAATATATGCTTTATTTTTATCTCTCTAAATTTTTTAAACATTATTTTTTATCCTTGTAAAAAATATATTTTGTTAACTATTATACATTTTCATTTTAAAAAATTAGAAAAAAAATATATTTTTTTATCAAAATCAAGACCCTAAAATTAATTGATTAATTATAACATTAGATCAACATATATTTATTATTTAATTTTTATTTTATTTTCTTTAATAAAAGCACAAAGTGCCTCGACTTTACTGGTAGAAATAAAAAGGTTTGAAACTCAATTTTTTATTTTTCATCTGAGATAATTATTTTATACTAAACAATCTTCTAATTTCATTTCTTATCTAATTTTTTCTCTCCATTTTCAATTCTTTTTTTCTATTTTTTTTATACCAAAGAAGGACTAAGAAAAGTTGTACAATACAGGTTAACAATGCAAGGATTAGTGGAACTGAAATTAAAAACACTGATTTACTCCGAGGAGTCCAGCAGAATCGTTTGGCGAATTTGGTGAGTATATGACATCTTCAAATCTAGTTAATAGATGTGAAAAGTTTTACATTGTTCTAAAGGTACCTAAGTTTGCCAGTTTTTAACAATATTTTAAATGAGTTACACTGTTCGTGTAAAGTTTTTTTATACTGACAACTAATTATATTTTTTAATTGTGCCATGGATGTTACTGTTAAAAGTAAATGTGTTTATCGTGACATGACACAAGTAAAAGATATAATTGGTTGTCAGTGTAAAATAATTTTACACTAATAGTGTATAGATGATTTAACTCATTTTAAATTCCAACAATAGAATGATTATGTTTTGCTACCCAGTCCTGTGTATAAATTATGAAGAATTATTTTTGCATCAGTATTTTTAAAAAAAATTTAATGAAAGAATTTTTAAAGATTCTTTCAATTTCATATTTAATTCAATTTTTATTTATTATAACTATTTAATAATTAATTTTTAAATTTAAATATTTTTTTAGTTTATGTAAAACGAATAAATTTTAATTTTAATTCTTCAAAATATATTCTTTATTTTTATCTTTCTAAAAATTTTAAACATTATTTTTTATCCTTGTAAAATGAACAAATTTTTATTTTGGTCTGTGTAAATTATTTTTATTTGATTTTCATCCCTCTAACATCTAAAATCACTAATTTTATTCCTTAAAGATGATTTTAAGATATATAAATACCATTTAATTTAATAATCTATAAAATTTTTAGAAATGTTATATGGTATCATTAATGATCACTTAACCTTCTAATTTTAATAAATAAATAAATAATTAAAATAATTACATAATAGAAATGTTCATTTAAACTTTAAAAAAAATATTTCTAAACAAGTATTTTTTAAAAACCAACTATTTAAGAAGCGAATAAGCGTTATTTCTTAAAAAATACATAAAAATATTTATTATATATATATATATAATAATTTAGATAAACACATAAAAAATAAAAATAAAATTGATAATTTTATTAAAAAAACTTTTATAAAAACAAAGTTTAAGAAAAACAGACCCAATGATCGGAAATAAAAACAATTTTAATTTTAGAGGATAAAATATATAAAATTTATTTTTTATAGGAATTAAAACTAAAACTTCGTCATATTACAAGGACTAAAAATATATTAAAATCTAAATTTTAATATTTTTTAAAGTAAATTATTAATAAATAAAATAATATTATGTTATAATATAAATTATTTATCATAAAGTAATATATAATTTATATATTTAAAAATTTCTATTTATTCAAATTTTAAATATAATTTATATATTCAAATATATTATTTATTTATATATAATTTATTTTAAATTTTAATAGTATATAATTAACATTTAAGATATGTAATATATAAGTTAAAATACTAGTCACTTTATATATAGAAGTGATAATAAGGAATTTCCTATCTTTATATATTATTTTTTAAAAATTAAAGAGAAAAATAAAACTGCATGCAGTTAAAGGGTGATAGTATTCAATTTTAACTTACGAAAAAGTGAATTTCACATATCTTTCTATATTTATTTTATGAGACAAAGTTAATTTATATCATAAGGTCAATTTCATATCTTTATATAATTTATTTTATAAGACAAAGTCAATTTCATAAAAATGAGGAATTTCATATCTTTATAAATTTATTTTATGAAAAAGTAAATTTGACACTCATAATATGTATCTAACAATGTCTTTTTATATTTTTCATATTAATCGGACGATATATTATTGAGTAAATAGTAATTAAATATAATTATAATTATATATATATATATATATTTCAAAATTCAATTTTATTCCTATGCTTGATATTTACTTTAATATTCTTTTAACATCTTACTCTCTCTCTCTCTGTTCAGTTACATGCGAAAAAAATTTGATTTCACATTATTAATATAGATCAATTAAGTACTTTAAATTTTTATTAATATTAAAATATTTTTCACGTTAACTACATCAAAAGTCATTTATTGAAATCAATTCTTTTACTAATATTAAAATTAAAATATTTTACTCGTTAACTACGTCAAAAGTCATTTATTGAATACAATATTTTATTACAGGAAGGATATTTAAAAAAAAAAGGATATCATTAAATGAAATAAAATAGATAAAACTTACTAATTTTTAGAACAGAATACATGTTTGTGCTTTTTTGTTGTTGCTTATAAAAGTGAATAGAGGGACTGTCTACATGTAAATTTATTTCAGTATATTTTAGTCTCACTATCTCTTTGAATATATTATTTTATATTTACTTTAATATTTTTAAAAAATATTATCAACAATTCAATTTTTTTATCACGATATTAGTTATTTATTATAAAATGAGTTTGACAAAGTATTTGATGAGTTTATAATTTTTTTTATCAACTTATAAACTAGTTATATTTAAGCAAGATAAGTTTATTTGGTATAAAAATTTATTTTAAAAAATTATAATTTTTTTCTTCATAAATTTCTTCTTATCTTTTTTATTCTCTTAATTCACTTGAAACTGCTCTAAAAGGTGCTTTATTAAGCTTGAAACTGCTCTGAAGACTTAATTTTGGTTGTTAGAAAAGTTGTGATTGATTGATTTCGGGGCAAGATATATATTTTATTAGGGGTTTGAAAATCTTTTCTGATCGAGTATTGAGTTGTCATCATTTTGCAGGGAGTATCAAAAGATGATAGGGAAAGGGCAATAACCCAAACATATGAGTTAGCTGAAGAATGCTTGAAAATAAATTACTATGGGGCTAAAATAGTAGTAGAATCCCTTATGCCCCTACTCCAGTTATCCGATTCACCAAGAATTGTGAATGTATCATCCACTTTGGGGATATTAGAGGTAGGCTATTATCCCTTGCTCAAATAGTTTTCTTATATATTAATACTTTTGCATCAAATCTAAAAGAAGGAAGATTAAGCTTGAAATTTTGGTGTTTAGGTAGCTCACCCAAGAAAGTTTCACTATAACAAAATTGAGATATATGATATATATTTTATAATAATATAATATTTATTACTAAAAATTACTTTTATTCATATAATAGATACAATATCCATTAATATATTATTAAAAAAATATAAATATAAATTATAATAACACACAAAATATATTGTTAAATATTATTTAAAATTAATATTATAATTATATGTAAACTGTATATCAAATAAATATATATATTTATATATATTGTACTTATAATGACATTTTTTATATATTACAACATATAATATATTTTCTATAGTATTGTATTATTATTGTTATTGACTTAAAATATTCGCTAAATATGAATTTATCTAGTATGAATAGTTGATAAATAGTTGATATATAAATAGTCAATCCATATATGAAACCTTGGGTTAAAATAGAATTTCGGTTTCTTCCATCATCTCTCATTGAAGGTCTATATAATTTATAAAGGTATAGATGTACAAATATGTTTTTTTTTATTTCTTTTACAAGTTAAAAAATATAATATACTAACAGATGAAATATAGTAAGTAGTACGAAATAAGCCTGGTTATAGAAAATAGATCTTCACCCTAATCTAAACTTGTATGATTGTTAATAACAACCCAACTTAGTGTTTATATGTTGTTTACGCAAAATTTTCAGTTTCTTTACCTGCCGTCCTACCCATATTCAAATTTTTCATACACCTTTTTAGATTATTAGCCGGTGTCACTTAATTATCTATTTTAAATTGCATGAAAGTCTTATTTCTTATTGATGCCAAATTCAGAATTTCCCAAAAGGATCATGGGCTAAAAGAGTGTTGAGTGATGTTGATAATCTTAGTGAAGAGAAAGTGGATGAAATATTGAACAAGTTTCTAAGATATTTCCAAGAAGGTTCATTAGAAAGTAATGGATGGCCTACGTCTGCCTATAGTGTCTCGAAAGCTGCAATGAATGGCTATACTAGAATCCTTGCTAAGAAATATCCTTCATTTTGCATCAATAGTGTTTGCCCTGGTTATGTCAAAACAGATATAACTGCAAACACTGGCATCTTAACAGTTGAAGAAGGTGCTGCTAGTCCTGTGAGGCTAGCATTGCTTCCTAATGGTAGTCCATCTGGCCTCTTCTATTACCGGACTGACGTGGCTTCCTTTTGATTTGTAATATGCAATTTTATGGTTTGAGAACAAACTACATTTATCTTGCTTTTCAATTTATCACTCTACATTGCACACCATGTTTGTTGAACCTATTTCAAGCGCATTGTATCATCTATGTTATGTTTTTAACAAGGAGGAATAACTCTTTATGGTCTTATAAAGAATTTATATATACTATATTTAATATCTTTAGTAATATTTGTCAACGTGCACTTATTAAAATATGATTATAAATTAAGTTAATAATAGAGTATTGTAACATTTTTTTTCTTCAAAAAATATTATTATAAATAGAATAGTAATTTTTTTATTTTAATAATATCCTTTTCTATGAGGCATATTTTTTATTATTTCATGTTAGAATCTATCAAGAAGATATTACAAGTTAGTTACCACTAAATCTAAATTACATATCAAATTTTATTTATCTTAAGTTTCACTCTATGATTATATATATTATTTATTTGTCATTATTTTATTTGATGTGAGACTTTAATTTTAAAAAAATAATTAAACATTGAAAAGTATGATTTATATGTGTTTGGAGAGGTTACTCAAACTACGTAGTGGAAGAGTAGTTATGCTTAGGGATGACAAATATACACGTATCCCGCGGGTAATACCCGGACCCGTCCTGACTTTGACGGGGAATACCCGGTTTGACCGGGTACGAGTATGGGTATGGGTAAAACCCGATATATTAAATCGGGTACGGTTACAGGTACGGGTATGTACTTACCCGCCCCGTCCCCGTCCCCGTTTCCATTTTTAATTTAATACCCACTTTCAATTTAATTATATTAAAGAATTTTAATATTTTTTTATTTGTGATTATTTATTATAATATGAGATAGTGGTTTTGGGTGAAATCTTCGAAGTGGTGTGGGTTACTGTTTGAAATTGCGTTAGGCGCAGTTCTTCGCGCCGGGCGTGATTTGAAATGGGGAATCCCTGTGTGAATCACGCTGGGTGTGGGGAGAACCACGCCCATATTACGTATGATCATCGCAATCTAACAACGTGAAAAAATGCAAGGGTAAGCTAAAGTTTAAAATAAATTAACATAAATAACTCAATTTAATTCATCATAATATCAACTTACAACTTTAAAACACAATACAATATATTATCAACCTGAACAACACAACATCAACACCTTAATTTGCAACACAACAACATATCTCATCACAAGTCAACATCACATATGAACAAAACAACTTAATCAACACATCATATGCACAATACATAAACTATATGTCTCATCACACATTTCAATTAGGAGATCTCCTATAATACAGGTAAGCAATTTAAGTGGTTTGGCCTTACCAAATGAACAACCCGATCTTTTTCGATCCAACTTGATTAACAACCAATTGGAATACCAATCTCTAATAACGTGGTTTCTCAGATATTGTCACTTAAATTAAGAAGTCTAATATTCTTCTTAAAGTAAAACAATTTAGATGTGTCTACCACAACATTGGCTAGCATAATTAAGTCACATATGAAATTAGTCCACTAACTACCCTCCAAATAGTATGTCCTTCTAGTACTTAGTTAGGGATTTTAATCCTTAACCTTATATTTTACTCTAATTTAGTCGCTTTATACATTTATGTCTCGACCTTGTCCACATACAAATCAACATTGGTCATTTATAGCTAATTTGCCTTAACTTGACCCATATATTGCATCAACTAAGGTTCTAGAGGAGACATAACTATTCACTTCAAGGGTCAACTTTTTAAGAAGGATTTTTTGGCCTATTGGACTCTCAAAGCACCACAATACAATATCCTTACAATGGGATATGCAACCTTAAAAACAACTTCCCCGCTAACCCTAGGTCAATCAACACAATACAACTTTAATGTCAAAGCATTCTCAACACAACTACTCAATTTTTATCCATTTAATCTACTATGCACTATCATAGATCAATGTATAGTGATTCAACATTATACATCAATATACAACATATAACATAACTCATCATATAACATGTAATAGATTCAACTATCTTATACATGTTCACCAATTTCATCATAAAACAATAAATTAAATTAAGGCAACTCGTGTTAGGCGATATCCACCCTATGCTTGATGCCATCAAAGCAAGGAGCCCTCTGTCTCACTCACGTTCGATGTCATACAACCCACGTCTAACATGGTTGAGGTAGGCAACCTTTGGGACCTCATGTTTGATGTGACAAAGTCCCACACATGGCCTCATGTCAACCCAATGTTGATCAAGCTTAAGAAGAAGAAGAAAATTGTAAATGTTTTAATGATTACAAATGTGTTCTATAGCCTCTTGAAAAAAAAAGTGCAAATTGTAATTTATTGTATGTTTTATTTTGTGTATGTTTTGCTTTATGCATTAGCTAAGTGCTAAATCATTCTTAATTAATGATTCTTCATTTAAAGTGATGATTGATGATATATGTGAGGTTTAAAAGTAATTTAAAGAGGATATGGTATGACGAATTGAAATACTGGGTTTTTACTCAAAATAATTAATTATCTTTAATAATAATTGATTATTTGTTATGTTTTTTAATAACTTAGAAAACATTATTGTAATAATCAATTATCTTGCCAAATAAATGACTATTTAAAAAATGAACCTTTGAAATAATCAATTATCTTAATAAATAATTGATTACATTATTTTTGGTGGATTTTCCATATTTTCAAATAATAAAATAATTATTAATTCATAACAATAATCGATTATTTTAGTAAAAAAAATTTATATAACATTTTTCATTCTTAGAACTTGAAAAAGAACAAAAACTTTATGAAATTGATCATTTAATGCACTTTGAGAAACGTGTTTTCTTAAAGAGAGGTTTGAAATCCTTTGTGGGAACTTCTAACATGAAACAAGAGAGTGAATTGTCATCATCATCTACTTGAAGGATTGTGGCTAAGTAATTTAGTCTTAATACACCTGTTCATTTTGTTTTGTGTGAGACCCCCTTCCTTATTTTTCTCTCCCCGACTCTCTTTCACTTTCTTCTCTCATTCACTTCTCATTTCACTCTTTTTCCCCATTTTCCTTTTTCTCTGATCTTGGGTGGCTGTGGTGAATCTTAGGAGCTGAGTAGTGGTGTTGGGTTTCTTGCTGAGCCGTGCGGAGCTTCCTTAAACTTCTCCTTCTTCCCCTTTTCTTCTCCGTTCAAGCTCGTCTTCTTCCCGGAGCTCGAATTCTCGCACCGAGGTAAGGGAAGTTAGTTTTCTTAGCATAGTTTGTTGGAAATGAGTTCTTAAACTCATGGTGTGGTTGATTTCTTGAAGATTGATGGTTGTATGTGATGAAAATGGGTTTTCGGGATTTTGATGAAAAATTTGGGGTTTTTGATGATTGATGGATGCATGTTGAAAAAGATGGTATTTTCGGGTTGTATGATGAAAATGTGATGTTTTGGACCGATTGCATGTGCCTGGGATGTTGATTTTTGCAGGTTTTGGGTGAAATCTTCGAAGTGGTGTGGGTTACTGTTTGAAATTGCGTTAGGCGCAGTTCTTCGCGCCGGGCGTGATTTGAAATGGGGAATCCCTGTGTGAATCACGCTGGGTGTGGGGAGAACCACGCCGGGCGCACTATCATACGTGAATCTCATGTTTCTGTTACTGATACTGTGCTGGGCGCAGGATGATTGCGCCGAGCGCAATAGACCTCTGTAGGTCTCTGGTTGAGAATTGCGCCGGGCGTTTGATTTTCAGAATTTGACTTTATAGTCTTCATGAAAGTTTTAGCCTTGGATGTTAGCTTTCCAATGGCGTTGGAATCACCCAAAAAGGAGTTTTAGAACTCTAGATATGGTTGTTTTAGTGAAGAGGGGTCGACCTGCTAGCATTATTTATAGTTGTTGCGGTTTTTATCATTTTTAACAAGGTAGATGAAGGAATTAGGACTTGGTGTCTTCATGAGAGTTTTAGGAAATCTTCTCATCTTTCATGTGAGATAAGGATGAGCATGGTAAGATTAGTATAACTTCTGATGCGCTGTTTTCTGTGAAGGTTGCCATTTCACATTTAGTGATTTGGTTAAGTTGAAAGTTGTTTTAGGTACTTGGGTTGATTGGTGTTGTTTGGGTGGGTAATTTGACAAGATAGATGAGTTGTAAACAAGATGGATAAGCTGTATTATGTGTTGAATATGCTATACGTTGTATATTGTAAAGTTGTTGATCATGCTGTTGATAATGTTGTTTATGTTGATTAATGTTGTTAATGTCGTATGATGAAAAGCTGAGTTGTGCCGAATGTTATTTAGGCTGATTTAAGCTGTTAATGATGAATGTTGTTGAGATGAGTGATGATTTTGATGTGCTGTGAGATGTTTATGCTGCATTATGATGTTGAGCTGTAATTGATGAATATTGTTGTGTTGTGAGCTGTTAAGCTATGTTGAATATTACTAGCTGAGATGTAAGATGTTATTGATGTAAGTTGTTAACGTCGTAGGTTGTTATTGCTGAAAATGTTGTATTGTATAATGTTGAGCTGTGTTGTTTAGCTATGTTGTAAGATGTGTAGGCCGTAAGGCTGAGTTGCTGTAGGTCGTAAGGCTGAGTTGTTGTAGGCCGTAAGATTGAGTTGTTGTAGGCCGTAAGGCTGAGTTGTTGTAGGCCGTAAGGCTGAGTTGCTGTAGTCCGTAAGGCTGAGTTGTTGTAGGCCGTAAGGCTGAGCTGTAGTAGGAGATCTCCAAGATGATATGCGTGACGATGCATTGTGTGCTTATTGCTGTTATGCTGTATAGTTGATGAGGTGTATGCTGATGTTGTGCTGATAGTTGTAGCTGTTCATATTTCATGTATATGTTTATATGCTAATTATTTTCACTAGCTTACCCTTTATTGTTTCCATGTGGTTTGGACTGCGATGATCATACTATGTATGAGAGCAGAGCAGGGATAGGTTGGTGGCTAGTGGTGAGTCTGCAGCTGGTAGGTAGAGCTGATTCTTGTTGATGTTTTGTTGTTTCAGCTACTTGGTGTAGTAGCTTTGGATGTATTTTTGTACATTTTGAATCTAGTCAGACTTGGACCATGTATATATGTATATTCTA